TTACCTGTGCAAAACGTCATGCTGCTGAAGTAAACTACAACAAAGTTACAGAGGTTTTAGTTTAAAAATATTTAGATGTTTTTTCTTGTGGCACAGATTGGTACATTTTGGCACCACCTACAAAAGTAGAGTTTTTTTTTAAAGTTTTTAGTTACATAACTTAATAAACTTGATAAATAAGAAAGCTAACTAGGAAAAACAACATATTTTGTATTTTATTTTATTTTTAAACGGCACATCGACACAACCAGGAGTGCGTTTTACATGTAAAACGTGTTTTTTAGTGTTTTTATCCGAGTGCTAGGTCTTCTCTTTTTTGCTGCTAGTTGAGTGAATTCTGGTTGGACTGTGATGAAACTTATATTTTTAGAATCTATCAGGTCTCTGCTTTCAGCAGACATGTTGTTTGTGTGTGAAGAAGTCACTGGTGAACAGCTGAGACCGGGTTTTGTCGAGACGCCATTTTGTACAGTTTGTTCACATATAGATTCAACTATGTGTTGTTTTATCTGTCTGGTGGACGTAGAAATGGTTTCTATGAGTTTTTAGCCAAGATCCTTACGTTTCTATAGATAACACATGTCTATGTTTACGAATGAGAACGTTGGTTAATAAAGAAAGCAAAAAATAAATAAATAAATAAACGATTGGGGCTTAAGAACRCACAGCTAAAAGCTTGTCTGAATATTTAATCTATGGAATGTATGAAGTTGTAAATGTTAGGTTAAATTGAAGCCTAAAGATAAAAAGTGTGTCTGCTGCTGTGTTGTTTCCTCCACAGACTGTAACATCCACCACCTGGACATGCAGAGGGACAGCAGACAGGCAGCCCAGGTGTCTGCAGCGTCAGAGGTTCCTTTACCTACTTCACCACCTGCAAACAGGGACGGGTTGGTCGGGTGAACGACAGCGTCGCTCTCCACCAGGGATATGTCGGCTTGAACAACTTGCAACTACAAGACGACAATAACGACAAACAGGCAACAACATGGTGGTAAAAACACAGTGAGTGGTCAAATAAGACAAGACATGAAGGCTAGGGAAGTAGATGYTAGAAGAGCAGGAAGAGACACAGGAAACAAGGAGGCACCGAGGAAGCAGAGGGTCAAATAAAGCATTGAATTAGGATTCAGGTCCACACAGTTGACTCATTTAGTAAAACAAAAAAAAAGCTTTCGATTATAGAAATAAGGAATGTTGTTTCTCTGTTTGTTCAACTGTGTCGCCCTGTTTCCTGAATTCACCGCTCACACTCCAGGTGAGTGATCTCTGTCAGGCTCCACCTCCAACAGACACCTGAGCTGCTTTCTGACAAATGATATTCAGTTTGGACGTGTTGTTTTCCAGAACTAACTTCAGTCAGCCAAATGAAAAAACTGACAACCTGGAATGAGCCTCGATGCYTTCACGAAACAGAAAGAAAAAAACAAAAACTAAACTGAGAAGCTTTGATAAAAATCCTTGAACGTCCATAAAGGAATTATTTTCTTTAGATTTTATTTATCTTTTTATAGCATATCCAAGACAGAAGTTAAATATTTGAGACCTTATTTTTCACACCGTGAGAAGTGTTTTTATTTTTTTATTTAAAGCAGCAGTTTTAAAGACGATGTTCAGCTGTTGGACATTCAAGGATTTCAGATCTGAAAGCTCAGTGGGACCGGACTGGGTGGAGGCGGGGCATCTGGAGCTCACCTAGATCATCTTTAAGTTCGAGTTCAGTATTGGTGGGGTTGATGACCCCGTCCACGTCAAAACCAGCCAGGTTACTGACCTCGCTGTGGATGAGGTTGAGCTGCAAAAGGGAGGAGGAGGAAGAAAGCAAGAGGCAGGCATGCAGAGGAGGACATGGAGCAAAGAGGACGTGAGGAAGCAGAGCCATTAAAACCAGATTCACTGCAGCACAGAGGGATACCTTGACTTTCTGAAGTCATTTCAAAACTGGTGCTGATATTTTTTATATTAACGTGCACAGAGAAGTGCATTCAGATTGAAAACAGACTCCTACAATAACATGATTACATGGAGCAAAAGCTGAGCATTATCTCCCTTTAGATAAAACCACTTCATGTGTTTTTGTTCTATGAAAGAACTAAAAACAGAACCAGAATCCTGCACAGTAATTCAACACAACAGGCCAATCAGTCAGACTGTATTAAAATCATRTGAACCACATGTAAACGTATAAAAACTAAACTGAAATCTTAGTTTTGCATCTTTGAAGTATAACGAGAAAAAGAAAGACATCATAAACAGAAACTAACCAAATCTTCTGACAAATAAAGACGATATCTCACGGGGTTTCGGGGTTAGTTGCTCACCAACACAGAGGCTAGAAGACTGTCATTTGAGTTTTCAGTAAGTTTGAAAGGAAAACGTGCACACCTTAGAATAATGTTTTGAAAYCTTATCACAAAAGGTAGGCTATGAATCTCAAAGGTTGGTTGGTCAAAATTCACAAACTCTCCAAAATCAGTCAGATTGTAACAGAAAATGTACCTTTTTTTCAGTTTCAAGTTGTCAACTAATTTCCAAAAATGGCAGCAAAGTGAGATTAAACTAATTAATCAGCTGATTTAGGACCCAATTTAATGGAAAATATTGTTCTCTTAAAAAAATAAAACRGGTACTTGGCCATGCCTTCACGTACCTAATTATGCAGTGTTGTTGTATATTGGCCATCAGCTCTCCTGTTATTTAAAGGGATCCATGATTAGTTGTAACATTAAACTTTATTTGATGAACATATATTTTAACTGTAAAATAAAGACTGTAAAAATACTGTAGGATGTTCAGTTTTGTAAATTTTTAAAAATATAACGGACAGAACCATTTTATTTCCACACAAAGCATTCTGGGTAAATGATGACGTGGATAGGTCCTTGGCGCGAGGCTGCTAGCGAGCTATATCCACCCTGAAGGTTAATCTTGGACAATATCTGATGATCGACTCTTTTAAATG